CCCCAGCTCCCTCAGCCTCTCCTGCTGCTCCAGCCCCTTCCCAGCTCCCTGGACTCCCCGTCTCAGTGTCCAGGAGGGCTGTGGTGGCTTTTCCTCCCGGTCCACTCTCCCATTCCCGCCGCAGAAATTCCTGCGCCGCCGGAAATATTCCCTGTTTGCCGCCTTTTACTCGGCCACGATGCTGCCGGGGGTGGACGCGGCCGTGCAGTTCGAGGTCAGCATCGGCAACTACGGCAACAAGTTCGACACCACGTGCCTGCCCCTGGCCTCCACCACCCAGTACAGCAGGGCCGTGTTTGATGGTGAGTTCCCCATCCTCGGGATGCTCCAATCCTGGTGGGATGCGGCCGTGGGATGGTGGAATGGCGCGGGAAGGGACCTGAAAGCTTGTCCGGTTCTGTGGGAAGGGACACGTTCCACCAGTCTGGGTTGGTCCAGCCTGGCCTTGGGCACTCCCAGGGATCCAGGGGCAGCCACAGCTTCTCTGGGAAATTCATTCCAGGGTCTCCCCACCCTCACAGCCAGGAATTCCTTCCCAATATCCCATTTAAATATCCCCTTTTCCAGTCTGAAGCCATTCCCTGTGTCCTGTCGCTCCATGGATTGGAAGGGACCTTTAGTGATCATTTAGTTCAACCCTCTGGAAGGGTTGAAGGCAGGTACACCTTCCACCAGCCCAGGTTGCTCCAACCTGGCCTTGGACACTTCCAGGGATCCAGGGGCAGCCACAGCTGCTCTGGGAATTCCATCCCAGCCCTTCAGCATCCTCACGGGGAGGAATTCCTTCCCAATATCCCACTCAAATCTCTGCTTTTCCAGTTTGAAGCCATTCCCTGTGTGCTGTCCCTCCATGCCTTGTCCCCAGTCCCTCTCCAGCTCTCCTGGAGCCCCTTCAGGCCCTGCAAGGGGCTCTCAGCTCTCCCTGGAGCCTTCTCTTCTCCAGGGGAACCCCCCCAGCTCTCCCAGCCTGGCTCCAGAATCCCAGAATGGTTTGGGTTGGAAGGGACCTTAAAGCTCATCCGGTGCCACCCCCTGCCCTGGGCAGGGACACCTCCCACTATCCCAGGTTGCTCCAAGCCCTGTCCAACCTGGCCTTGGACACTTCCAGGGATGGGAAACCAGTGGTTGTATCCAGGTGATCCTGGATAAGCTGCTGAAGGTGACTCTGGCTTGGACCAGGAGACTCCAGAGGTTCTTCCCAGCTCAACCATGGGGAACATGTGACTGGGGAGGAGGGTTCAGCCAGCCCTGCTCTCAGCTCTGTGCTGGCTCAGGTGTTTTTTGGCACCACCACGGCACTCCCAGTTCCAGTTCCTCTCCCAGGGAAGAGCCAGTGTTCGGGATAACCATTCCCTGGCTCCTGGTGTGGGATGTCCTCACCCCACCGGGGTCGTTGGGCTGGTTTCTGACCTCGCTGCCACACCCACAGAGCCTGACCCACATCCCTGTGGGGCTTTGGGGAGCTCCAAACCCCCCCCTCAGAGATGATCTCCTGACCCACATCCCTTTGGGGCTTTGGGAGCACCAAACCCCCCTCAGAGATGATCTCCCACCCAAATCCCAAATCCTGCCGTGCCCTCCTTCATCCCTGCTCCCGAGAGGGGTGGGATCCTGGGTTATCCTGACTCCCTGAGCTCATGGGGTGCTGTCCCCAGGCTGTCACTACTATTACCTGCCCTGGGGGAACGTGAAGCCCGTGGTGGTGCTCTCGTCCTACTGGGAGGACATCAGCGCCCGCACCGACGCCCAGAACCTGCTGCTCCACACGGCCCACAGGCTGGTGAGTGACCCTCTGCCTCCTGGGGGGGACAGGGGCCACCTCAGGGAGGGGACAGAGGCCACCTCAGCCTGGCTCAGCTCTGGGGTTTGCTGGTTTTTGGGCTGTGGAGGGATAATCCGAGGTGTTCCGGGTGTCCTGCCCCGCCCATGGGGTGATGGGGGGGAATTGGGACCACCCTGACCCCCCCCCGGGCTGGGGCTTTGTCCTGCACCCCCCCCTCCCTGTGCAGGGCTGGGAGAGCAGGGATTCCATGGATTCGTGGGATGGGTTGGGTTGGGGGGGATATTGAGGATCATCCAGTTCCATGGGCAGGGACACCTTCCGTTATTCCAGGTTGCTCCAGCCTGGCCTTGGACACTTCCAGGGATCCAGGGGCAGCCACAGCTTCTCTGGGAAATTCATTCCAGGGCCTCCCCACCCTCCCAGCCTGGAATTCCTTCCCAATATCCCATCTCTCCCTGCCCTCTGGCACTGGGAAGCCATTCCCTGTGTCCTGTCCCTCCCTGCCTTGTCCCCAGACCTTTAGTGATCATTTAGTTCAACCCTCTGGAAGGGTTGAAGGCAGGGACACCTTCCACTAGCCCAGGTTGCTCCAACCTGGCCTTGGACACTTCCAGGGATCCAGGGGCAGCCACAGCTGCTCTGGGAATTCCATCCCAGCCCTTCAGCACCCTCACGGGGAGGAATTCCTTCCCAATGTCCCGCTCAAATCTCCCTTTTTCCAGTTTGAAGCCATTCCCTGTGTCCTGTCCCTCCCTGCCTTGTCCCCAGTCCCTCTCCAGCTCTCCTGGAGCCCCTTCAGGCCCTGCAAGGGGCTCTCAGCTCTCCCTGGAGCCTTCTCTTCTCCAGGGGAACCCCCCCAGCTCTCCCAGCCTGGCTCCAGAGCAGAGGGGCTCCAGAATTGTGGAATGCTTTGGGTTGGAAGGGACCTTAAATCCTATTGATTCCACCCCCTGCCAAGGGCAGGGACACCTTCCCCTATCCCAAGTTTCTTCAAACCCCATCCAGCCTGGCCTTGGACACTTCCAGGGATGGAGCCTTCCTTCATCTCCCGAGCTACTTATGGGATATCCTGCATTTCCCTCTTGTCTCCCCTGGAATCCCAAGCTCGGGGGTGCAGAGCCCAGGCTGGAGTCTCTGATCCCAGGGGGTGCTGGGGGTGGTTCTGGGGGTTCCCTGCCGGGCAGCTCCTCATCCCTGCTCCCCCAGGAATCCAACCTGGCCAAGGTGCAGCTGGCCCTGCAGTCCAACGTGCCCCCGGGGGAGGTGGAGGCTCTGGGGAACCAACTGCTGGACGATGTCATTGCTGACTGCAGGTACCGGGGCTGGGCTGGGTTTGGGGCTGGGCTGCCTTTGGGGCTTGTCCTGCAAAG